GGTTACTGTCGACATGCCAATACGTACATTGCTGATACGTTGTCAGGAGCAGATGAAGAAGTTGTATGCTACAAAGTACGACCTCAACCAGTAAGTAAATCAGACAGTTCAACAATTAAATTTCTGGGTATCTATTTGTCACTACTTTTATATGACCTATAAGATATATGGTGGATTTGCTGTTGCCATTACTCCCTATTATTTATTGAAGCTCGTCGAATGTTGATGTTCGACTGTATTACAAATAGGTTTTTTGAAAGTAAATCAAGACCAACTATCATATCATTACTTCCGATCCTCCCTTTTAGATGATTAATCTCATAGTGTTTAAAAGCAGGCAAAAAATCAAAGTAGTCATCGTACAAGAAAAGCTTATAATTTATTAATTGATAAGTTGATAATTTGATGTGATGTAATGTTGTCATCATTTCAAAGGTTACGATTACGAGAAGTGATTGTTGGTGGCGGAGCACCAGTATTGTTTCTGGGTGACCAGCTCGGCCGACGCGGTCACGAGTGGAACAAGAATTTGTATTTGCAAGTCCTCTCAGGTTCGACACACTTGGTGCAATAAGCATCAGACTTAGTTCTTTCCTGTGTTTGCAATGAGCCTTTAAGGCAAACATTGCAGTGCATGTGACACAATGGAGCATTTTTTGTAGATGAAGAAGTTGCGCGAGCAAAAAAGCATACAGCAACATCATACCCGGTGATGGTAAGACGTTTTAAATCGTCCGTGCCAGAAGTGACATCTTTGGTTGAACTGATGGTTCCATTAGATGAGCAGGATCAGGTCGCAGCACTTAAAAAACAGATCTCTTTTCACTATCATGTGCCATTCGATCTAATCCAACTGTCAGAGGTAATATGTTTCGTAAGTCACACTCTCTTTAGACTGTTTGTTATCTTGAATCTCATCCGCAATAGTAATTGAAAAATATAAAGTTGGCTGATTAAATGGCATCTTGACCAGTAATTTCAACTGCTGAGCTGCTGTTTTTATATGATTCGACAGCTAAAAATAAAGTCGGACAAGTTTTGTATTCATAATTTAGCGAATTTATTCTGTAGGCATTTCCAACAACTGCATGGAGTAAGTGGCCATATACAAAGGACAGAGTTGATTTGTACGAAAACGTTAGTTTCACCAATGATGAATCTCCATTTAGCGGGACATTCAATGGTAAACTCATCTATTTCAAGTAAGCTTTTTATAGGATATGCTTTAATAGTCTCAAATTTGCAGGTAATTATAAAATTTTTCAGTCAAATTACAGCTGTGGTTGATTAATAAACGTACTGCCGAACTTCTCGAGTCTAAGAATCCAGTTTAAGAATAAAGTAGATGATACATGAATGCTGCTGAAGTTCAATCGACAGGGAGACTGTGCGAAATCAAATTGTTTGAGTTCTAATATTTAAGATCTGTGAAGAGTCATTTGTTTTCTCCCTTTTTGGAATTCCAATTTCAGATTAGCTAATGAGCAGGTACGGCAGTTAACAGATGAGGAGAAACGTACACTGCGATACAAAGACAGTGCTACAAAACCGGTAGATGCTGCGATCTCGCGAAGAAAAGAAAGGCCACTAAGGATACAGCTGTCGACTAGTATCACCGAAGATGATTAAGCCAATGTTTTATTTATTCATTTATTGCTTCTTTTCTTTCACTTGTGCTACGATTATAAAGAGCCTACTGTTTAAATTATCCAATTAAATGTTTTACAAATGATCAGAAAAATGATCGGCGGTATTTTTGTTATGTGGAACATATGATTTATTATCTCTTATTGAAATTGACTTGAAATTATTATAAAATATTCCTGATGTTGATTGGTTGTGGTTATTTTAGACATTATATGCCTCAATTACTGTATAGATCATAGAACTGATGAGAAGATGGCTTGTTAGAGGAAAATCTGCACAATTATATATACAATTCATTCAGTGCCTAGTACTTCATTTCATGCTTTTATGCATTGTTGCTTCTGTTTACATTCTCTGTCGTCATTATTGCACTATTCTATTTGCTAATGATTTTCGCTCTAGCAAACCTTTTTAGCAAAAGGAAACATTTTCATGCATTTCTTCATTTCTTTAATTCATACCATTTGCTTAGAAATTGTCGATCTTCTGAATCACTCATGGGTTATGTCGTTTCGGTCATACGGGAATCACTGGTTTTTGCATCATCAAATGTTTCTTCTTTATCTTTATATTATGGCCACAAAGTTTAGCTTCTCCAACGTTGTACTACTGTACATGCTCTCTTTATGATTCTTGATATGTTTTATCCGTTGCTATTAGTTCACATGTTAAATAGACATGAAGCAACACACCTAATGTTATTCTTTCCGTTATTATGACTTTTTTTCCCTTGCTGCACGAATTTAAACAGATTTGATATCTAAAGGTAATTATTTCTTGTCATTCATCTCTCTTTATATGTAATCATGGCATTACTTATCAATTACTCTAATGATTACATATTTTAGCAGAGTTATGAATTCATTTATACTCTCCCACTTTATTTTACCATTGGTCTTCTTATCTCCTGGATATAGTCGAATTTTTTCATATAAACAAGTCGGTGCGATATTTACAAATAAAACGAGACTTGGAAGGTAGGTATTTCACTCTTCCCCTCTCGTATTCTTACTAGGTGAAATCTGCTCCAGATTATAAGCATGCAGTTTTTGAGATTCATCGTGATATATAACATTTGATCATTTGATTTACGCTATAGATAATGAATTCATGAAGCAGTAGTTTGTCTGCTACCTGTGGATTTTACACTCTGTCTGTTTGCGTGTTATATTTTGTTTTGGGAGTTAATAAATGTTGTGTTAAATAAATTATTCGTTACTCATACTGTTTCTCTATAGACCAAATGTGCGTAATTGGATGTGTTGGATTATAATTCTATGGTAAACCATCGATATATTATAGAGATATGCTTCATCTCTCTACTATCAGACACATTAGGAGGAGATATTCCATCGTGGTTGATGAATGACGCTTTTTATCGTATTTCATTTGGAGCATTATAACATACAGTAACAACAAAATATCGCGTATTAAACATTGTTGTCGCAGGATATTGATCTCCTTTGAGACTTGTCATCAACAGTTTTGAGTGTAAAGGCCCAATAAACGATGACTACATCATATTCCGGTTGAATTTTAGTCTGGTTGATATAGATAATACATGTAATTAAAAGTAATAGAAAATCATCCGGTATGTCAAACACAATAAGTTTACTTTCATCCATAAAAACTGCTGAATCCACAGCAACCAATACCGAAACCATTTATACCCGTACCATATAAACCGTAACCACCAAGGCCACCATAATTGCCGTAGCCACCAATTCCACCGTAATTTCCGTAAGAATAACCATATCCATAACCGTAACCTAAATTATTATTTAATAACTTGTAAATAATAAGGAAAGAAAGTTTGCATTATCATAAGTTGATATGCATTGAGGTTTTCTTTTCCTAGTTATATTTTCAAAAAATTTCTTTGAACAGGATTCTATGAACTAATATATGCATGAAGAAATTATCTTTGCAGATATAGTAAGCTAACATTTTTTAAGTTTAGATACTATTCATTTTCATTACTTCAATCGAATTAATCAAAGTTTAAAGCTTGCATCGATTTATCAACCATTTCTATCAAATTATTTATTATTTGGACTAAATTGTTCATCGTTTGATTATCAAATTTAATTACCACTTTAATAGTTATCATTTTACCGATCAAAATAAAAATAATAATCAATAAATAATTAATCGTACCACCACATCCAAGCATACCGTATCCACCACAACCGCCAAAAAATTGTGCATCGATAGGCGATAATAAAAGAAGCAAAATTGTTGGTATCAGTTGTATCGTTCTCATAATTCACTTCACTGCAAGAAATTTGAATTGCCCAGTTAGTAAGAAGTGAAATGTTCTCTATATATAGTTTATTGTGGACAATCTCTCTTACTAGTTTCTTGTCATTGTTTGACCTTTTGTTAAAGTATGACATACATTGAGTTTTATGCAAATAAAAGCACGAAAAGGGAGATATTTATTAAAGTGAATACTTGAAATATATATTGCATTATTATTATTATTTCCTTTTTTCTTTTTTTATCCTATTTTGTGCAAGCGACATATACCATAAGTGGTATCTGTTATACCTGATAGGTACTACCACTATTACTACTATCACTACCGCTACTAATGATTACCTGACAGATACTATTATTATTACTACTACTATTACTACCACTGCTATTGCTACTACTAATATTATTGGCTTCTAGTGGTTATTCACTAGATCAACGAATTTCTTCATTTAAATAGTTGTCACCTCACGATGGCTTTCTTTTTTTCTTGTCTTATTCCAAAAATAAATTTTGAATGAAATAATTGAAGTCACGATTGAGAATTATTTTCCTTATAATTATTATTGTTGTATTGTGTATATGTATATTTCTCATTAAATATACAAAAGTTTACCGTTTTCTTTTCCCATTCTCACGATTACATCCATCTGATCTGATCGAATAAATGAATGAATTGAGAAATAATCATTTCGTTTATTTTATTTTCATTTTTGATTATATATTTATATTAATCATACAATTATTGCAAATCATGCAATTATTTATTGTAATTATTAATTATAATGAAAACTACACAATTTGTAGAAAAGATTGGAAAAGTGAATATATGAATGATACATTGGTTAAATACATATAAATAAATAATTTTTAATTATCAGATGGAATGGTTTATCATTTAAGGTATTATAAACCACCAATCCTTATATATAGACAACATAGCTATATAATCGATAAGTTCTAATGATTTTCCCGGGAAATTTTGATTGTTTCTGCCTTAACTTTTTATAACAAATATCATCGAAATGTTTACCTATTTTTATGATCCATAACAGGTAAACGAAGTAATGGTTACAGATGGTGGTGCTGGTGATGATAATAGGTGCTTATTTATACTTCCATCTCTTTTCCACTACCCGATATTTCCGCTTGTATTTCCATTAATCCGATATTTCCACTTTTGTTTCTATTACCCAATATTTTCATTTGTATTTCCATCATCCGTTATTTTCGCCTGTATTTCCACTGTCTGATAATTCCATTACCCAAGTATTATTTGATGAAAGCTGCTATGATTGATATGTCGACATGTCGCCATATGTAATTATTCGATAATATAAATTTATTTCATTTATATCCTCTTATATTTTTACACTGCAAAAAATCTCTATTAATCATATAAATCTGTTCTGTTATCGTGTCATATCATTTGAATCGAGAAATTTGATAAAATTGTTTCTGTTTGTCACCATAACATGCCACCATGTAATTATACGATAATATAAATTCTGATACGATCAAAATAAAATACAAATGATAATCAGCAAAACAATAATTGAAGGATTAAATGTTTCGAAATTGAGGAATTAAATGTTTCGAAATTTTTGATTAAAGTTAAGCCATTGGTGTAATTTGGTCATCCATACCGAAGACCGTGTCAAGCGGGGAGTTTAGCTCTTTAGCTTTTCATCTATAATAAAGTAACGCAGTGTGTCGTAAAAGCTAACTCAGATAATGAAACTTTGTTTCCACTTGTCGCATCCATACCAACTGTTTTTTATCATCCCATCAAACAAGACAACTCATATATTTTCTAAATTGCACCGTCTCATTCCTTTTAGTGTAATCTAAGATTAGAACAACAAGCAGTTTGTATTGTTTTTCATTATTGTCAAATGAAAGTATACGACTACTATTACACATATTATATCACATGTGCACACACACACACACACACACACACACACACACACACACACACACACACACACACACACACAC